AGAATCATGGAGTTGGAAAAGGGGGTCTCTAAGGCCATCCAGTCCAACCCCCTGCTCAAGGCAGGAATCAAAATCAAAGCAGATCTGGGCAGAGGGTGGTCCCGTTTTCTCTTGAAAGCCTCCAGCGTTGGGGGGCTCACCACCTCCCGAGGTCATGGGTCCCATCGTTGTACTACTCTGTTTTCTACTGACAGCTCTCGGAGGGGGCTGCATTGACCGTCAGAATGAGCAAGGAACCCCATTCCCCATCAGAACTGAAGACTGGATGGAAATACCTCATTCCAGTATCAATTTTGTGAATCTGGGTGTTGTTGTTTTTTTTAATTTGTGGGCGATGGGGTGGGCCTGCACCTGGTTTGGTTTCAAAACGATGAGCTCTCAAGAGTGAGAAAGAATATTTGTTTCTGCCGACTGATTTTACAAGGAGGGGAGCTGGCAAAAATGGCCGGGAGGTGCGGGGGGGGGGAAGAGAAGCACTTTTTCCACCCTAGTGCCAAAGGCACAAAAAGAGAGCGGGCCAGAGTGAGAGGAACATGAAAGAGGGCCATTGACTCCAGAGGAATAGGGCTCAGAGGAGCAAGATGAAAGCCGCCACTGTCGATTCTTGTGTTAACACTCGGCAGGATTATCGGAGAGAAGCCGCAGGTGGTGGCAAGCTCTGTGGGGCTTCGTTTAGCTGATCCTCCTCCCCCCATTTCTCCTCGTGCCCCAGCCAGCCCCAAGGAACTCACGACCTCCCAGGGATGGCAGGCGCCCCTTCTTCTGTTTATCTTCCATAAATAAACCATCCTTTCCAGGAATTGTCTTTGAGGACCTCTCCACTCCTTCACCTCCCCAGGCCCACAGCAGTGGGGGTGATTCGCACCGAGGGCAAGCCAGGCCAGCCTCCCCACCACCCCCATCACCCCTCTGGCTTCCTTCTCCCTCATCTCGAGAAAAAACAGCACAAAACTTTGCAGAGCCAAGAGGCGGAAAAACAAATGGACGGACATCCCAGCCTGCTCCTGGGACCCCCTTCCAAAACCCGCAGCTCCCTGCAGAAAGGAGCAGGCCAAGATTTTTGCTACGTTGTGGGGGAGAAACGTGGCCACCCGGGAGGACCCACGGGCCGAGCTGCAATTAAAAACACAGGAGCAAAGGCTGGAGAAATAGTTGGCAGCCCTAAAGAAGCCCCCAAAAGAGAGATGAATGCACGGTGTGGAATACTGTAGAGTTAGAATATGACACATCCAATTTGTACCCTGTCCTCTTTTAATTGGCTCATGTTTCACCAAACCATGGATGGTTTATGGACTGAATGTGGCAGGGGCATCTTCTTGGACTCCTTTGGGGCCCAAACGCCCCCTCAGTTCAATCCACACATTGACAGGGCAACATTTATAGGGCAGTTCTTAACCACATCAGGGGCTGTTGGGGGGGGCAGCACCCCACTTCTGGGAGAAATTCCTGCAGGTGTGCTTAGCTAAACATATTCCCCCTGCAACTCTACATGCACATCTAATGGCCAAAGGACCTCATGTGTACGACTCAAGCTTTCCCAGTTCAATCCCAGTGTTTCCAGATAGGCCTGGAAAAGGCATGCCTGAAAGTGGAGAGAGGCCGGTGACTCTGATTTGGGGCCGGCAGGGCTTCCGATCCGGGTTGTAGTCAGAACTTTAAGTGAGCTATCAAAGGTTCTGGGTCTCTTTTGTGGACGGAGAGATTGTTCAGCACTTCAGATCACTCCTGTAAAGTTCGGACTAAAATGGAAAGCGAAACCTGAGTCCTGTAACTCCGCTGGAAGCTGCTGCTACTCAGTTTGGACCAAGGGGTCTGGTTCAGTCTAAAGCACCTTCTTACAGGCCAGAACTCAGCAGAAAACTGCCTGTCTTCCAATGCCACTTGTATCCAGTCTGTGGCATCCGCAGAGCCTCCAAAGATCCTGTCCTCAGCAGCCCGGCTCGTTTCTTCCAAACTAAACATCATGGGTTCTTTTATTCAATCCATCCATCTCATGGTAGGTCCTCCTCTTTTCCTGTTTCCTTCCTTCCCTGCCATCATTGTCTTTTCCAGCAAGTCTCGTCTTCTCAGGAGGTGCCCAATGGATGACACTCTAAGCAGAGTCCTTTTAGCTTTGCTAATGTCGTTTCAGTCTTAGTTAGTTATGCGCCATTAAGCCAGAACCAACTTATAGCAACTCTTAAAAGGGTTTCCAAGGAAAGTGAGATACAGTATTTAAGGAGCAGCGTTACCAGTTCCACACCCCCAGTGAGTCTCCATGGCAGAGCAGGGATTCAAACCTTGGCCTCCTCGATCCTAGTCCATCGCTCTATCCACTACACTACCCTGGGTCCTCCTTTCAGCCTTAACTAGTCTTTAAAAGATCCTGACGGAACCCTGGGAGAAAAGCATTCCCATGACAGCAGAACAACAGATGCAGGACAGCATCTAGAAAAGAAGGTGTTGTTTCTCCTTGTCTTCATTAGGCTGGAGTTGTGGGAGATTGCCAGGCCGCTCAAGGAGAGGCAGAGGGCTGGGGAAGAGTATCTGGGATCCTAAGCCTGTGAGGGTCACACCAAGCCCACCTAGTTCCCCCCCCCTTCTATGAAATGTGCTGGAAGAGAGCTTTGCAGATACCCTGAACTGCCAGAAAGGTGAACAAGGGGGTCCTGGATCAAATCAGGCCTGAATGAGCTTTGGAGGCAAAAAGGTTGAAACTGAGGCTGTCCTACTTTGGGCACCTCCGGAGAAAGCAGGATTCTGTGAAGAAGACCATCATGCTGAGAAAAGTTGGGAGGCAGCAGGAAAAGAGGAAGACCTCGTATGAGATAGACGGACTCCCTCAAGGAAGTCACAGGCTTGAGTTTGCAGGAGGTGAGCCGGGCAGTTGAGGACAGGGCATTTTGGAGAGGGTTCATTCATCGGTCGGCGACTGTATGGCACAGAACGACAACCACCCGCGTGGGACGAATAGCTCTGGTTAGGCTTCGTGGTTAGAGCAAGGAGTGCCAGCAACAAACTCCAAGAGGCGGGTTTGCCCCTTTGCCCTCCTACCGGCGTGTGGCCTCTAAGTTTCATCGTCCAGCATCAAAGCTGCCGACCCCCAACCTCAGGGAGGGCTTTGCCATAGGGGGAAAAGAATCTAGCAGAGGAGGCCTCTGTTCCTGTTGCTTCATGCAATCACACCGAGGAGGACCTTCTCCCCCATTGTGCTGTAGGATTCCCATGGGGTGGGGGTGGGCAACACACACACACCAGCACATGCCCCCATCAATGAATGGCGCATCCGCTTCAGAAAATTCCCACACGGAGCCCCGGCGAAGGCCAAACAGTCGCCTCTCTTGTTCCCTGGTTTCCCCCTGGGGTTTCTGAATCCCCTTTCTGTCTTGGGAGGTGCAAGGCAGCTGGGGGAGGGGGGAAGAAGGGGGGGGAGGCAGGCAGGGGCCACCGGGCAGCTCCGCGCCCAAACACAGGGTTGGACTTGAGGCATGGGGTCTGACGACGCCCCACTCAGACCCCCTCCACACCTCATCCCCTCCAGGAGCAGAGGGGAAATTTCCCCAGGCAGGTTCGGTCCTGGGAGGAAAGCTTCTTCCCAGGCTGCCTTTCAAGAGGTGAGACCCATGCAGCTTTGTTGAGCCACCACAGTCCCTGGGGAGCCTGGGAGTTGAAGTCTAGGCTCAGAGCCCAGCCAGGATGTTCCTCCCCTCACTCTGCTTGGATTTGCCACTGGGATTCTGATTTCTCAGAAGGCACGGCCTGAACGCCGTCTCTCCAACACCTGGGGGAGATCCACGCATTCTCCAAGGCTTTCACAGCCGGAAAAACCCACAGCCACCACTTGGTAGGAGACCCCCCCCTCCGGGGTTGCCAGAAAGAGGCTCAAGGGGGTCCTGGATCAAATCAAGCCCGAATTCTCTCCGGAGGCCAAAAGTTTGAAACGCTCTCTGCTATTTGGGGCCCATCCGGAGCAGAAAAGACAAGAAGGTGGGAAAGGTTGGCGGGAGACCCAACAGGCGATGGAGTGACTCCCTCAAGGAAGCCACAAGCTTGAGTCCGCGAGAGCTGCCCAGGGCCGCGGCCGCGGGTCGTCGGGGTCCCAGGCGCGTCCAGGTCTCCAAGCCTAGAGGTCGGGTGAGGAGGGGAGAGGATTACGTGAGAGCA